AAAGCGTTCGACCCTGCTTTCCTCGCTGTTTGTCTCTTTGTTGTGGGGCAGAGTGCGCAAGAAGGAGCTGCAGAAGTCACTCATTTTTAAATGACCAGACTTAAAGATATCTAAGCTTTCATCTAGCATTAGTTGTAAGATTGAATAATGTATGACTGGAATTCGAGCTTGTTTCAAATTACACTATTTCCATGTTATAAGCCGCACTTTTTCAAATTTTCAAGCGAGCCGCTAAGTCACTCCACTATGTTTCGGAAAGCGATTCTTATGCCGCACGATTCTCTAAAGCAATACGTAGCACGATGTAGGGTGCTTTGGTCACGAAATCTTCTGGACTGTTTAAACTGGTCGATTTTAGAAAAAAAAAATCCCCTGCGGCTTATACACCTGAAAGGGTAGTTTTTATCTACAACAAATGCTCAGTGGAAAATTGCCGTCATCAGGCATTTTAGAACTCATTTTCCCGACCTCATTTCTATCGTTCCCTCCGCATAAGGTAAAGCTGACACCTCACTCCGCTTCCTCATCGTTTTATTGTTCTGGTCAAAAACGCGGAAGACTTTTTAAGAGAAGTTTTCCGCGGAAGTGGTACGTAGCGAAGTGTTTACATAGGCTTACCTTTTCTTTGATGGACAAATTTGCAGTCTAAAGTGTATTTCTCATTTTAACATTGTGCTGTAGTAGGTATCTTCGGTTGCAGTCGTGATGTATTTTCAAAGTATCAAGTATGGCTTTCAGGCGCTCACGCAACCATTCTGTGGGTCTTCGTGGACGCCGGTCAGTCTCTGCTCATGCCCATCCTTCAAGTGCACCCAAAAGAAGTCGTAGTCGTTACGAAGGTGGTGCATCTGCACCTGCCAATGAGAATGAGGAAACTGTGAGTGATTCATACATTTATCAACAATCTTACTCACCATTTACAAAGACAAACACAGCCAAGTGGTCATTTTTGCAATCTCAATTTGTCTATCCATGCATGTGTAGTTTTGCAGCTTAATTTGTTAAATCGTGTGTAAATTTGAATTCGCAGAAAAAACTAAGCACTCAGTCGGTCGGTGTACTTTTGCGTGCTTTAAGATCCAGTTTTTAGCGTGATTCACCGCTTCCGCCGAAACGATCTCGAGAAACTACGGAAGAGATCACAACTACTACAACCGTGACCATTGATCCAAGCCGTAAGAAGCCATCTCAGGCAAAAGTGACCATTAGAAGAAGCATGAATAGGAGCATGTCAGCGAACGACATCCTTAATCAGGTGGAGATCTTGAGTTGTTTTTTAGGCTAAGTCTCAGCAGCTTCTATCGAAGCGGGAGTTACACGACTAAACTCTTGAGACCGTTGTAGTTTGAGATGCGAAGCAAAAAGTCAAGAACTGATTCCATCTACTCAAAGCATTAACCCCATAATGTTTTCGTTCAGATTACGAAAACATTGAAGAATTTACTCACGCTCAGAAAGTACATATGAGCACTAATCCCTTTACTTTATGTGTCTATCAGTTTCAGTTATGATTTTGTAAGATGTGTGATATTTTTAGGAAAAGGTCACTCCTGGTGGTCCAAGAACGCCGTTTGTACCTCGAACGACCAGCACACTGGAGCTGTAAGTAGCATCATACTTATTGTCTGTTATGTTGACTGACATTTTCTACATTGACTATCCATAGAGGTATAGAGGATACACAGTAACGATCTCAAAATTTCTTGGAGGGGGGAGGGAACAAGGTTCCTGTTTGAATAAAGGTGTGTGACATTAGTCACGCGTTCCGAAAAATTTCTTTGTGACTTTTCAAGAACTTGTGCGCCTATAACCCCGAAATTCTAGAACAAGAGCCTGACGGTAGCCACGCTTCCGAGAAGTTTTTTTACAATGCTAATTTGAACTTTTTAAAAAATTTCAAAAATCATTCCAATTATCTACAAGTATAAACAAGTCACTTACGCATTTTATAACTCTTGTAAACAATTCTCGAAATTTTTGCGACTCAATCTTGAATGAAAGATCTCCTTATCCCTCCCTCGGTACGCCACTGAGGGTATAGGAACAAACAAGAGACTGAGACTCCTACACAACGACCTCCCTTGTTTGCTTTTTTCCTAAACACGGATGCATCACTGTTAAATTTCAACGAGGCTTACAAACCCAAAACTGACCTCCATCGTTGACTGTAATCTGTGGGGGAGAGGTAGAGGGGAAGATTTTGGAGTGAGAGATTATGACGTCACTCCTGCCTAAGAGTTTTTCCACTGACAACATTCTCGGCACTTTCATGCAAAGACATGTCTAGGAGTCGTTAATTGCGATAGATAAAGATGTTGTTTATATGAACGTGACAAACTTGCTCGCCCCTTTTCTCCCATCTATTCGTTTTTCGACTGCTAGTGAAAATTCAGCTTTCTAACTTTACGAATAGTTTTGTGTCTAGGATCGATGATGGTATATTTGAAGGCCTTGATGAGTGGTAATGTTCCGCTATCTTACTACTTGTTATTTTTTCTTCAAAATGTTCTAGCCGCACCCCTCGAAATGTAGGATCGTGGACCAATGGAAAACCGATTGAAACTCGTCCCCATCGATTCCAGCCGCTTTCTACATATTTTAAGGTTAGTCTTGAAGGTCTATAACAATGTGCGTAATCTGCGATCACAATAGATACGGTCATTCATTTGTGTCATATTGACCTACTCTGCCATTTCTGACGTTTTTATATGATCCCTCTTTCAGATAACCTCTTGTGATGTCTGCCATGGTGGCATCAACTTTGCTGCAAAGCCTGCTTACAAATGCTCTGATTGTCTTCAGCTTGCCCATGTTTCCTGTTCATCGTAAGCCTTCTTTACACTAGTCTCAAAAGTTATTTTTGAATTTGCTGTGCAGGCGGCTTTTGCTACCATGTGTGCCTCGCTCAATGATATTCCCGCGCACACCAAGCAAAAGGAATGTGCAGATCTATCAGCTACAGGTCTGCTTCATCTGTTTTTATATATGTTTTCGTTGGAGATTTTGAATGGTGCACATTGTGCAGGAATTCTGTCCTTCAACACCACCTATGATTGCGTATCCTATCATTCACTGCATCGTGGATCTAGAAAACCGCGGTTTGAGTCGAGAGGGTATCTATCGAGTCCCTGGAAGAAAGGATCATGTAAGTTTATGGTAAATTTCAGAAATGCACTTCACCTGACTACACCTTACTCTCCCATGTGCATCTCCTATTTTCCTGTTTCAGGTGCAAAGTGTCTTGAATGAGCTACGAACATCACGTGGTATCCCTAAGTTACATATCCAAGAAACTGAAGTTGTAGCCGATGTCGTCAAAGCCTTTCTTAGAGATCTTCGAGTAAGAAACTCTCTTCTTTTTTCATTTTTGAAAAAAAAACACATATATATTGAATTTCAAACTACATTTATCGTATATGCTCAAAATACATAGCTATACAATGTATTTCATACGATTAAATCAATGTTTTGGTCTAGGATCCACTCATACCTAAGTCATCTCGAGAGGAGTTTGTCCGTGCTGCTCAAACAGACAACATCTTAGCGTTGAATGTAGCAATTTGTGATCTGCCGCAACCGAACAGAGACACACTTTCTTATTTGATGCTTCACTTGCAAAAGGTAAGTGAGCGTTTTCAAAGTGTGCCCCTTCCTTCAACATGAAGAAAAAATTGCTGCAGATCGAGGCGCTGAAAGAATTGAACAAAATGACCTTCGAGAACATTGCACGTTGTATGGCTGTGGCAATCATGGGACAACCAGCTCGAGAACGCGATATTCAATTGGCTGCTGACCTTGCTAGGGAGAAGGAACGTTCTGTACTGCAAATGTTAAAAATGTCGGAGGTGAGTTAATAATTTTTGTTTTTTTTTTGTTGTTTTATTAAGTCCAATTTTTATGCGTGTTGCATTTTCATATCATACCATTGTATCGCTTGAAAATATAGCAAACTTGGAATAATTCTCTAATAGCTAATGCATAATTTGAGTGCAATGCAGTAAGTCAGCGTTTACTCTTCAGTCGACTTTTAGTTTCGCGATTTTTCCTGCTTTTGATCTGTTTGGAGGATTTTTGTTGCTTGACTCTCAAAATAGGGAAGTATTTTGTTTTGCAGACGTTTGTGCTTGCGCGTGAGAAAACTTTTCACAAATGTCTTTTGTTAGTATATTCCAATTTCTCAAGCATATTCCAGGATTATTGGCGCCAGTTTTTGGAACCAGGTGATGCCCGGCCTGAAGCCAGTGGAAAAGGACGAACGCCAGCAGCTCCAACTACACCATTTGCGCCGTCTTGCGTAGATAGAAGTATGCTAGGCCCTGTTACCGTATCGCCAGCCGCGCCGAATCTTCTGAGACCAATTCCGAGACGTCCACAGAAGTTCTTTGATAGCCCTATGTAATTCTTCTAACAAGGAAACGATACTCAATGTCCGTGACCTTTTGAGACGAGATCCATACCGTTACACTCGTCTTCGAACGCTGATTCCGAATCCGACTTCCGTTTCTGCTAATCGTTTTTCTGAAAGAAGTTATAGCGAATTTTGAGCCAAGTTTGGCCGCCCAAAGGAATTATGGTCATTGGAACGGCCTCTACTGCGGCCACGTGCTGGTCTAGTAAATAGTGCGATAGCCTCATAAGTCAACGCAGGTATAGGTCCAAATCCTTTTGTGTTTTTACCTTTGCACTGCCTTACTTGTTCAAGAAAATTCACTCGAATCATAATCACTGGATAAATTTCAGCGCGAACACCAATCATTCATTCCATTTTTTGAAGAGTAAGGGCGTTCACTCAGCTTGAGGATGCGAAAAAAGGTTAACTGAGGCAAGGCAAAACTGAAAAACACAAAGGGACTCGAACCTACACCTGCATCGACTCATGAGGCTATCGCACTAACCACTAGACCACAGCGTAACGTTATCGCTCGCGCTCCAACCATATTTCACTAGGCAGCCAAACTCCGCGCCATCCATCATAAAATCTTTGAAGCGATTAGCAGAAACGGAAGTCAGATTCGGAATCGGCGTTCGAAGACGAGTCTAATGGTATATATCTCATCTCAAAAGGCCACGGACACCGAGTATCGTTCCCTTGTAAGTGACCGCCGCAGAATTCTGTGTTCAAAAAGAAATCTATCAAAACATTTGAATTCACTACTCATTAGCGTTTGCAATTTAGAGAGTTGTTTGTCTAGAATTTTTAGAGTTAAAAGAAAGAAGTCTCACTGTTCCACTAAAATCACGCCTACTCAAATTTGAAGCTTGCGTCACTTTTTGCTGCTGTTAATCTTCCTAGTACTAATGCGACATTGGATCTAAGTGTTGCTCGTTAGTTATCATAAGCACTTCCCAGCTCATCGCGACCGTTAGCTCAATCTGATGTGGCAGATCTGCTTTACAATTTCTCCTCAATCACTACTATGATCTTGAACATGACATCTCTAGTAACAACACTTTATACAATTTTCTACACATATATTCATTGTTTATATTGGTATCATCTGGTGCATTCTGTATTTGTGACCGATAATCACTAATAACTGATGATAATACCTGTAAATATATGGAGTTACATAATAAAGTCTCATTTTTATACTGGTCATAAAAAAACGTTAATGATTCACATGATTTTGGATGTAGGAATGTGCAGGGCTTGCGCTAACTTAAAACTAAAACGCTAACTTAACCTAACGTCCACCCAGAATTTGGCCTCCTATGTTTTCGTCATTCTGGGGCCTTTCCGTGGTCCTGATTACAGTTCGGAAGTTCAAACTTCCTAAAATTCACAAAAAACCCGATCCTTGGTGACCCAATCTTGAGGGTGCGGACGAGTTTCGAATTGCTCGTCCCCGTCGGCAGGCCAGCGGGAAGGAGCTGCAACTGCATGGGTGCAGTTGCATTACAGTGTGCAGTGTGCAGCTTCTGCTCACTCCTTGTCAATGCGTGTCGGAGGCACGTATTGACAAGGTAGTGAGCAGTCCCTGGTGGGCGGAGTCTGATATCAGACTCCGCCCAGCCAGAGACTTTCGGGCCCCTTAACTCCATTCAGAGACAACGTTAGAAGACCGGACCAACGCAGATGCCCCTTTTCTGGGGCCTACATTCAGGATCGACACTAATCGGAGGGGGTTAGGTTTAGCCTGGACACTGCCTTTAAGTGGATCGAAAAAGTTCGGTAAAAGTCATGCTTGACTTGTGAAAATAAATCACTGAGTTTGCAAAATTTATCCGGAGCTAACAATAAAATATCCAGAGGGAAGACTGAAAAAGGAAACATAGTGACAAGTCAACCCAAAGAGGCTTTTGAGAGAAGTCTCTAAGGCCGTTCAAGCACGCGTTGCGTGTGCGCCGCGGAAGCACCCTTGAGAAGCTGGCTGAGAGACACGCTATGGTTGACTATGGGCTTGCGCGTTTATTCTAAAAACCCTGAATGATTTCAGAAAAAAAACCCGTCAAGTTTTGGCGAGTGTGATCTATGCGCTTTACGTAATGCACTGTTTTATTCAAGTTTTTCTGACTTCGCTAAAACACTTGTCTGATCAGAAAATCACACTTCCCCGCCCTATGATTTTTGGTTTTGCGATTTCTACCACCTTCTTCTTACATCGTTCTTCTTAGACAATTTATAGAATAGTGCAAGCACCTGCATGCCGAAAAAGGCCCGTCCAAAGCTAGAGAGTAATGGATCACATGTGCTCAAAAATATGTCTGCAATGCGAGTTATAGAACGATCGAAAAGCAAAAGCTCTTAAGTCAGCATCGTTGGATGAATCGTCCGCATATCACACTATTACTAACGCTCTGTGCTTCATCCCATAATCCGCTCTTTGGATTTTTGTTAGAAAAAATCGAATCTTATTTCAGTAACATTGGAGCTTTAGAGGAGATGAATTGACATTTTTAAGGGGTATAGAAATTAGACTATCAAAGCATTTGTAGTGTTCAGTGTTGTAGGGTTAATTGAAGAATCAGTGAGCAAAAAAGGGGGAAGGGGGTCTGAAGGGGGGGGGGGGGTCTGACACTGCTACAAGTGTTCAAGCCCCCCCCCCCCCATCCTACTCGAAAAGCATTGAACTGCCTCTTGAATACTGTAGACTTCCAGATTTGACGAATCTTCTTTGATTTTTGTCAACTGTAGGTTACTTTACTCAGTTTGACATCACCCACCGAAAGCATAAATCCAGATAAAATTTGTCTAATCTGACCATCTACCGTGTATCTGCCGTATCCAAAAGGGTCCTTCCAGTATCAGAATGTGCATCTCCCCGAGCTGAGTCGAACGGTCTCTTGAAGCATTTGTCCACTTTGAACCAAGATTTGGCGATGCGACGCGGATTTCGGTGGACTCTGGTGAGTTCGGTGACTTTCTTGACAAATCGTGAGCGGTGCTTTATCAACCTAGAGTATTTGAGATATAGATATACAAGTGACTGAGATATAGATATACAAGTGACTAACTATCGTAGACTGATCTTGTAATTTTCATCGATTTCTATTCGATTGGAGGAAAATGGTTTTCTCACCCTCAATTGCCTCCACACAAAGCTTAGAGTCCGGATTTGCTGGAAATTGAACGAACGTCGAAAAAAATTTTTTTAAGAAGACGCTGTTGCTCCCTCTCCTCCTTTTCCCAAGGAATTGTCAAACTTGCAAACTCGATGCACTTCTCTTCCGCAACTAGACGTATTTGTTATGTATCAAGCGATAAAAGCAATCAGTTCTTTTTTCGCTCTCTTTCACTATAAGAGATGAGAGTAGCTCATCTGCCATTTATTGTTCATTTCGTCAAGAGACAAAGAGCAGCTGTGCTAAGTGATCATGAAACAAAAATACAAACGGGTTTGGTCTGTTTCAAGATGAGCTAATGAAGAAATTAGTAGTTGAAATCAAATAAGAACATCTTTAAGACATGAATATAGTAAATGAAATGAATGAATTTTCTGTCTATTTTATTCTTTTCTCCTCTATTTCCATTTTATTCTTGTTTTTGTATTGAGGAGTGGGAGTGTCTTTATGCTGAACAGAATCTCGAATGCAAATTCAAACCCGAACTTGTTTCTTTCAATAATTGCCCAACCGCCAGTGCAATTATTGCGCAGAATTGAACTGCACTGTCGATTCTTTTCTTAAGTTGAAATAAGCAATTTGAAAAAATGTAAAGTGGCGAGGGCATTAGCAATTTGTAGCTTTGGACTAGTTTTGCAAGAAATTTTGCAGCAATGAATTATGTGAATTTTGTTCTCGTTCAGCATGTTTTACGAGACCCCAAACAACATGAAAAGAATAGCGAAGAAGAAAACTCTGCTTCTTCTTCGTCTGCTCGAAAAAGAGTTCCTGCTGCAGCCGCGGGTTTTTAGTGTTAAATGTGCAGTCATGATTTGAACCGATTGTAATTTACAAAGAACAGCGATGAGTTGATTACATCAAGACATAAAATCATAATAAAATCAAATCTTGCAATGAATCTAAAATCTTCAAAAACCAAGAAGGTCTTCCGGGGGAAATTCGCCTTTCTTGGAAGCCACTGTAACTGCAAAAGTAATATATAATGATATAGGGCATATAGGGCATAGGTAGGATGATATAGGGCATGCTCAATTTTCTACTTTTCTATCAGTGTAGACTCTGCTCTGTAGTGTAATAGCAGGTGTAACTATCTTGTAAAATAACTTTAGAGGTAGATGGGGAGAGAAGTTTGCCGAATAAGTCATGCCTTAAGCAAAAACTATCGCAATTTGTCTCTGCTGCTGATTAATTAGTGAGGAAAATTATATGAAAATCAAGTAGTAGGCTTTGTCAATGAATTCAGCTTTCAAGCTTGCAGAATGATATTTTATCATCAATTTGTTTGTTTATTCTATGCGTGCCGAGCTGTGCAACAATAGATGACAAGAACATAATATAAATACGCGAAAAATAAGAAAATAAATGAATAAAAATAGAAAATAAAACAGTAAATGAGAAATCTTTTTTTCAGGAGAAAGAAATCAAAGAATAAGAAAAAGCTTATCCAAGTTGCAGTGTATTTTACAAAAAAATCAAAAAGTCTATTATACTGATTTCTTGGGATATCGAACTGAACCTGAAATAGCAAAAATTTAAAGAAAGTGAAACAGAAATCTGCTGAATAAATCATGGAATTATCAAAGAATTCTGCAGATTCTTTCAGAATTCTTTCCCATTATGCAACAAACAATCAAAAATAATGAATAGTAGAAAGAAATTCAAAGAATAATGTACAAAAATTGAGTTGCGCTGGTAGATTTTTTGTAAAAAATTGGCAAGGTATATGGTATACACTTTAGTGTGTATGGTTTGTACAGTAAAAATCTTGCGGGAGTGAATGAGACATCAAATAATGGAAGAACTACAATGACAACAACACAAATTCCACGGACATTAATGTTAGACGCGTACGCGTTGGTAGGCGGAGCTGGAGAGATGAGTTGTGCCGAACGTGTATCTATAAAAGACCGACGCCTGTTTTCGTACTGCCGATCTGCCGACGCCATTTAAGATGTCTGGTTTACTGTTTGTACTCTGCTCATTGTATTTTCTTCCCCCAATGTAAGTTCTACAATGTCATCTTCAGTGTTCTGAGCGGGCATTGAATAATCGATACGATTTTGAATGAGATTTCGAATAAAAATAGCGACACATGTTAAAGTGTTGGATGAAGTGATAAAACGCTTTTAGCAGCTGTTACAGAATGAAAAACTCAAGAACCTTATGCTGACGTGTGCTCATCATGTTAGAACTTGCGTTATCTTGTTTCCGATGTGTTTCTACGTTGTATAAGCGGTTGAACAAGTTCAAGCCCGTTAAAAACGCGTGCGGAGGCTGAAATGGATGGTATTGTACGCATATGGTCGGTCCTTCGTAACTTGATATGTGTATTTCACACTATGCGCGCCATTTGACGACCTCTGAGATCAACGCCTGCTCATTTTCATTGATTACTGGTTTCCTTGTTTCTTTTGGCTTGATTGGATACGAAGTGGTTGATAAAACACACATTCGTTGTGCCAAAAAGCGTTTTACTGCGCAATTACTAGTGAGGATGTCGTCATTTGCCGCGCGTAGTGTGCAGACTCACATATCAATGACTCGAAGATATAAATCGGTTTATATGTTGATCTACATTCCACATAACGCGCAATACTTCACGACCTGTACGGTCTGAGGCCGTTATTTTCAAAAATTTTTCCTTGTTTTTCTTTCTACCTGGCTTGATTGGATGAGTATTAGGTAGCAGTACACACCTCATAATTTCTTCGCTAACCTTCATTGAGGAAATTGTAAGGATTCGTAGGTTATGGCGCGTAGTTTGTATACTTATATATCAAGTTACGATGGCTTTACAACTCTGATTTTTCATAGCTTTCTGAATACAATTCAGCTTTTCACATGACTGATCTCTATGCAAATGGTTTTATCGTCGCTATTCAACCCGAAAATTTTTTAATAGATTTTGCTCAAACTTGCCTAGGAGATTACTCGCAAGGTGATACATTTCACTGTTGCTTATATCGTAAAGCTACCGTAATCCTACAACAAAGCCTTGACATGTAAGACGCCTATCATTTTGTGTAAATTTTCATTTTCCTTACTAGCTCATTGTGTTAAAACAGCGAATTTTTTTTGAACATGTAATTCTGACTGCCTTCCGTAAACTTCAGTTGATCCTGTCATGCAGGTTAAGTGTGGTTTTGTTCAACATGGGAAATATATCAAAAATCTCATGACCAAGTTTGAGCGCAATTCGTGGTTTTGAATTTTGAACCTTCAATATTAGACCGCTGTTTTTTTCGAAATGGTGTTTGATTGTTACCATCAGTTTTAATTATTTCTCAATTTATAGGTGCACCATAGATCTTTCGAAATAAAATATCAATACAAGCTGCAGTATCACATCCTATTAAAGAGCGCCTTTCCCAGATCAACAGGCTCAATTGATTTTCGCACAATTTGCAAATTAAATGTATGCTTTCTTGTTCTTTAATGCTGGGAATCTTGAATGGCCGTACAAGTTTTGTTCTTGTAGAAAACCAGCTTTGACATTTCTGGTCTTAGCTTCGGCTGGAAGTCCATATGCTGAAAGGCTTGTGACGGATTGTCTGCCCTTGAAATATGCAAAAAGAAAGGTTTTTGAATCAGAAGCTGCACACTCAAACGAGATTTGCAGCGAATCTCGTCATTTCTACAAAAAGATGATACTACAAAGGACACCTTTTTCTGTTTCATAGTGAATCACGCCAGTTTGTATCATTCTACATAGATACGGCAGATTCATCAAATTAGCAAGGATCTGATTTGTGAGATAGTTGGAAGCCTCTAGCATACTCGTGTAGTATACACAGCACCCCTCCCACCCCCCCCATGACTTTTGTACTGAGAACGTGAAAGTAGAAGTATTTACTAGACAAGGGAATTGTGATGGAGTAAATTATTGGTGTATTAAGGTACAAAACTAAAGACAGGTGTAATTACTTTTAGTTAAGTGCATAAGAAATCTTACGATGTGCACTCTTATACATTGCTATTAACACTGCTATTAATTAAACGATATTCTTGCTGGAAGGGAGAGGGGTACGAGAGGGAGGGGAGACTTGGAGACAGACGGCAGTGGCGGCTCAAATTTTTTTTTTCGGCGGGGGGGGGGATAAGTTTTTCTTCAAATGGGTAGACAAGCTAATGCCACACATTCATACCCTAATTTGACTTTTTAAAACTTCTAAAAAATATTTTAGTTATTTACAAGTGTCAAGTGTGAGTTTCTTGCACAATTTCATAACTCATATGGGTACCTTTCGATTTTTTCGCGCTCATATTCGAGGAGGAGAGGGGAGGGACGGGTGGAGGCTGAAGTTGAGGGGATATAGGTACATATAAGTGGTGTACCGAGGGGGGGGGGCGGGGAGGGGGGGGGCGCGCTCCCCTTCCCCCGAGAATGAGTCCCGAAATTTTTGAAAGTTACTTAAATGTGTTATAAAAATGTGCAGAGGACTTGTATTTATTTGTAAATAATTTAAATGATTTGAAAATTTTTAAAATTTCAAATTAGCCTTGTAAAAAATTTTTTCAGGGGGCGTGGCTAACGCCACGCCCCCTTTTTCTAAAATTTTGGGGTCAGGGACCCGGAAAAATTTTAAACATCCCAACAAATTTTTCGGAGTGCGTGGCTAACGCCATGCACCTTCACTGAAAATTTTTCTTGTCGCTCCCCCCCCCTCCGAGCCGAAATCCTGGGTACGCCACTGGTACACATTACATAGAGCTATCACGTCACTGATCTACAGTGGGCTGTGATTTTTTATACAAGCCTGATTATTTTTCTTTTCTGTAAAAGCTAAATTTATGAGTGTTTTTTTTTTCATTTTTTAGTTGCTGCCTATTCAACCCCATCAAATAAATAACTATTTAAATAAATAGATAAATAAATAAGTAAATAGATAGCAGTTTAATGACTAAATGATTAACCTTGCATATCTATATGCGGTTTTGCATGCTATCAAGAAAACCTAATTTGAAAGGTACATATTTGGTGGAATTTCCTTCTACACGACGCACTCTGCTACGTTTTCGAGATTTTGTGATTTTTGATTTTGATTTTTTGATTCCCATTGCTTTTGTGTGCTTGAATAACGTCGTAGACCAAACTTGTTCTTCTTCGATTTATAACTACTATCGCCCAAATTTAGGATCTCTCTTTTGACACCGTATGAGTTCAGCCTTTTCTCGCAAACTTTTTGCTACTAGTTCTTTTGCAGAATAGGTGAACTCTCAATTCGGATAACTTTTGCAAATTTCCATTCTCTTGTTTGTAAAGTGGCCACTTCCTTCTGTAGCAAAAAAAACCTGATATAACTATTCTCACAGCCTTGGTCTCCTTGGTTTGTTTGATTTTAAGCAATTCCAGAACAGCAGATTTATGACAAACTTACGCTGTAAAATCTTGTGAATGTTGGCATTTATAAAATGTATCGTATGAATTTGTTTCATTCTGATATGCAGCTCATCGATATTCTTTTCCATCGTTTTTCATAGCTAATTCGCTAGCTAAATGATTCAACGCATAGATTTTATCAATTCATATTACGAATCTGATTGTTCAACTTGCCATCGAATAGGCAGATTGCGGAAAGTTTGTTTAGCTGGAGGAAATAAGTGAATAAACATTTTGTCATATTACTTATTCTTTTAAATCGAAGTAAGCTTATAGGTGCTGTTGCTGCAAAGTTGAGAAAAAACATATGTTAAATTGAAATCTGATCTGGTTTATGCATATTTCAATATTTTTTTGGGAAGCTTGGAGTATGACTCTTATTAGAAGCGCTCTACAAGATAAGCCACAAATATTCAAAATCCAAAGACCGTATATAGAGTCTTTGAAATTCTATCACACCAAGAGATAAGCTTTCATCTCAGAATGAACAAACCTCTCACTCAAGGTCATATACTTAACAATTCAGATGTCCATACATAATGCTTCCTGATTATGAGCAGAAGTCAAAGAATGGTGCTATCACCTTTAAAAACCTTGAATTTTTGGCATATGCGTTATTTTGTACGTAGAAAAATCATTTTTATGAAGTTGTACACGTGGGAACTAACGAAAAATAATTAAGCATGCAATTTAAATCCGATTTTGGAACATTTCCGTACAATTATGAGAAATATCTAGTCACTATCAGTCATCCTACACTAAGACTGCATATCTATCGTGAAGTTGAAAGGTTTATTCCAGATTAGCAGCTGAAGATGTAGTGAGCGTCGACTGGCTCGATAAGAATAAAGTGAGTTTTTGAGCCAAATCTCATGTAAGATGTTCGATGTTATTTATGATGTTGATATTCTTCAAAAACCGTTCGCGGTAGTATGACAATTGAAAAGCACAAAATAACTTTTTTTCTGAAAGATTTTCGAATGGATTTAGTGTGAAGTGGTGATCCTAGCTTTAGTTGAGTAACATTCTTTTAGTTTTTTCTTTTCTATCTCGATTCTTTTTTCGTTCCAGGACTCTGTCAAACTGCTCGACGCAACGTACCAACCAACATTTCCCAACTACAAAGAGTTCAAGGAAAAGTACTATGGAAGGTTTGAAGAGTTGATGCACTTCAAGGTCAGTGTTCTTAATGCATATTACTGAAGATGTAGGTAACATTCAATTAAAAAGGTTCAAAGACTTCCTGCAAAACTTTAGGTCAGACCATAAATTTCAAGACAAGCTCAATTCAGCTTCTTTGTTAGATTCAACTTGAATGAGACGATGCAATTAAACTCTGAGATCGTGCTCAGTCACCATATTCTTATTTAAGCAAGCTGTAAGCATGGAAGAAGCAGCACGTTTGCTCTTTGACTATTTTGAAACAGCTGTCCAGTAACTTTGCCAAACTTCACTAATTATGGTTCTCTTACAACAGAATTTTTAACTAACAGAAAAATATTTTGTAGATACATCGCGCCATGTCAGCGCTGTTTTGTTCCGAAACTCGTTTCGCTTATGGTTTCTTCCCTCATTTCAGTCCAAACTCGCTGTTTGGTAAGATCTATTTGTCTGCTGAGTGAAACAATTCAAGCGTTACAAAACCTCGAGCATAATAATTCTGTAATGATCTACGTAGAAAAGCTCAAATATGAAAATGAGATTTTACGTCTTGAAAATCGCGTTAGATCAACATACATGTGGAATTTGCCACTTATTAGCAGATTAATGAATTTGAAATATTCAAATTCCTCCCCTGACATTCAGGCACCCCCGATTACATACAATACCGCTCACATTTTTAGAAAAATAGACGCGAATGTATGGACATGTATGGACATGTACGGACATGTCCATACATGTATGGACATGTCCGTACATGTCCATACATCAGCGTCGCTTGGCCATATCTCGCTTCAGAGTGGACGAATTCTGAATCCAAAGCCACCATTCGATTCAGCTCGGCGCGGAGAATCTTCTGATTTATTGGAAGTAGGGGTACGATGTCTTCGATATTCCGTTTTCAGTTTTTTCAATTTGTTCTGCGGAGGTCCTTCCGCGAATATGTGAAGCAACGCTTACCCAACATGAAGACTTTACTAAGTACTATTCGATAATACTGTTCTTGTAGATTATTGTGCGCTAAAAAGTAGGCTCAGACTTCTTTTCAAAGGAGATAGAAGCGTTGGTGAATTTTGGAAAAATCACGCGTTTCTAGATTCTACCCGCCATAACTTCCTTCGGAATAAGTATTTTTTGAATCCGAAAGCAGCGCCTTGCTCAGCTCATCAAGGCAAATATTCCTATATACAGCATGTCCTTGATATTTCGATTTCAGTATTCTCGAATCTTTCTGAAGACGTCTTTTCGCGAAGGTGTAAAGCGGGGAGCGTTACATTCCAGCAAGGATCTATCGATAGCACTTTTTCTGTAGATTATGATGTGCTAAATAGTAGCCGCAGGTTTCTTTTCAGAGGAAATAGAACGGCTGGTGAATTGTGGAAAAATCTGTCGTCCCAAATTCTACTCGCCATAGTCGCAGGATACGAAGCTATCCTGCTAAGCAGATGTGAGTTTCGAAATCAGCAGGCCGGATTACCTTTGTGAGCAAGTTTTCCGATATGTTCGGGTTATTCCTTGTTTTCTCGTTTTACGCACCGGAAGCTCGCCGATGGATTTTAGTCAAAATGTTGATGCTCTTGAATTGTAGGGAAACTTCGCTTATAGCGGTTTTCGAACACGCTCTTTACGAAAATTGTGGTCTTTGAGGATTACAGGGTCTTTTTGGAGAGATACGGTGAGGTGACTGTAACTGCACACGAAAGTACGTAATTTTGGCCGCACTTCTCGCGTATCTTTCAAAAACCTTGCCTGCTTGCTTTTCTCAGTCAAAGGTACTAGGAATTGTGCTATCGAATGGTGCATCATTCAGGCTCCAGTCTGTGAAATTCGTCGAGTTACGAGCCTACGAAAACACGTCCTCATGAATTTTGCCCAAAATATAAAGATCGCATATCTCGTCGAAATTCCTCCGTGAGCGCTTGTATGACGCTCGTTGCAGATATTATGTTCGCTTCGTCGAACGACTCCCACTGTACTGAATATGGTGCTTGCGTCTGCTTCAGCTGCTCAATTGAATATCAAAGCTATTTCGTGGCTAGAGCTCAAAGCACCAAATCCAACACAGTAAGATCCATTAAAAATGTGGAAGGATTTGATCAGCGCGTTGTACAAGCGCTCACGGAGAAATTTCGACGAGATATGCGATCTTTACATTTTGGGCAAAATTCATGAGGACGTGTTTTCGTAGGGTCGTAACGCGGCGAATTTCACAGACTGGAGCCTGAGTAATGCACCATTCGATAGCACAGTTCCTAGTAACTTTGACTGAGAAAAGCAAGCAGGCAAGGTTTCTGACAGATATGCGAGAAGTGCGGCCGAAGTTACGCACTTTCGTGATGAAGTTACAGTCACCTCACCGTATCTCTCCAAAAAGACCCTGTAATCCTCAAAGACCACGATTTTCGTAAAGAGCGTGTTTGAAAACCTCTGTAAGCGAAGTTTCCTTACAATTCACGAGCATCAACATTTTGACCAAAATCCATCGGCGAGCTTCCGGTGCGTAAAATGAGAAAAAAAGGAATAACCCGAACATATCGGAAAACTTGCTCACAAAGGTAATCCGGCCTGCTGATTTCGAAACTCACATCTGCTTAGCAGGATAGCTTCGTATCCTGCGACTATGGCGAGTAGAATTTGGGACGACAGATTTTTCCGCAATTCACCAGCCGTTCTATTTCCTCTGAAAAGAAACCTGCGGCTACTATTTAGCACATCATAATCTACAGAAAAAGTGCTATCGATAGATCCTTGCTGGAATGTAACGCTCCCCGCTTTACACCTTCGCGAAAAGACGTCTTCAGAAAGATTCGAGAATACTGAAATCGAAATATCAAGGACATGCTGTATATAGGAATATTTGCCTTGATGAGCTGAGCAAGGCGCTGCTTTCGGATTCAAAAAATACTTATTCCGAAGGAAGGTATGGCGGGTAGAATCTAGAAACGCGTGATTTTTCCAAAATTCACCAACGCTTCTATCTCCTTTGAAAAGAAGTCTGAGCCTACTTTTTAGCGCACAATAATCTACAAGAACAATATTATCGAATAGTACTTACGAGGGAAGTGCTTTCAATGGCCGCGGCCTTTTGATGTGAGATGCACATCATCTGAAGCTGCTTTAAACGCTGATTTCAAATCTGATTTCCGTTTCTGCGGAGCGCCCTTCTGAAAAGAGTTATGGAAGCCTGAAAAGCCTAATTTGGGGGCCCTTTTTGAGTTTGAGAGCGGTGCCACATGCGTCGCTGGTGCGGTGGTGTAATGGTCAGTTGTTGGCATTGAAGGCGAAAGGTCGGCGGTTCGAATCCGGTGCAGAGCGAACCATTTTGCGCTTTGAATGTGAGTTCAAAAATCACTTTAAATCGTCCGCAGTCACTCAATGTAATATCCTTGGCAAATGTGAGGGAAAAATTTTCTGGCATAACTGCTTGTAACGAGGCCCTGAAACTCTACTCGACTTCGTTGCCAGTAAAATAGGAACCAAAATAACAAGCAAGCGGTTTTGCCAGAAAATTTTTTCCTTCCACATCTGCTATAGTAAGCGACTGCAAACGAATTAGAGTGGTTTTTGAACTCACATTCAACACTGGATTCGACCCATCGACTTTTCGCCTTCAATGCCAACAACTCACCATTACACCACTCCACCACCGACGCAAATAGCACCGCTCTCCAACTCAAAGAGCGCCCCCAAAATAGGATTTTCAGGCTTCCATAACTCTCTTCAGAAGGGCGTTCCGCAGAAACGGAAAGCAGATTCAGAATCAGCGTTCGAAGCTGCTTCAAACGGTATGCATCTCATATCAAAAGGCCACGGCCATTGTTAGTACCTCCCTTGTTAGTAAAGTCTTCTATGTTGGGTAGGCGTTGCTTCACATATTCGCGAAAGGACCTCCGCAGAACAAATTGAAAAAACTGAAAAGGGAATATCGAAGACATCGTACCCCTACTTTCAATAAATCAGAAGATTCTCCGCGCCGAGCTGAATCGAATGGTGGCTTTGGATTCACAATTCGTCCACTCTGAAGCGAGATATGGCCACGCGACCCTGATGTCCATACATGTATGGACATGTCCATACATGTATGGACATGTACGGACATGTACGGACATGTCCATACATGTCCATACATTCGCGTCTATTTTTTAAAAAATGTGAGCGGTATTGTACAGTATACATATATGTATGCTACATATATTCGAGTACAATCGAAAATTTCTAGCCAAATAAGATTCTATTCCCTAGAATCATCAAATACATACAGTCCATTTTCTTTTTTCGTCGAAAGTATTTTCAGCCTCTAACGTAAGAATTAACTTCCAGGTTTCCTCTTTCGTAAACCTCGGCATTGTTAGTATATGTGTGAGTATGTTAGTAAGCCGACCGAGGTTAGTAGATGTTTATTGTTAGTGGCGGCCTGACGTTTCGACGTGTTCGTCTTCTTCAGAGGCCTAAAGTGGTAAGAGATTTTATTTTATGTCCTACCCCACCACAAACCTCCTCCATATCCGACCAGCCTCGACTTTGCCCCCCAAAGTGTTACAAGCAAAAATACGCAAGCACGTGAAAGACGAACCAACCTCCTCCGCCGCTGCCGCCCAGATGTTAGATGCGGCCGTCCTTCGTGCCACTAGTAGTAATAATGAATACAGTGTAAACTATATTGACATTATTTACTAGTGGGACTCTTCAACTCACATAATGCCATAAAGGGCATAAAGTCATTCGTGATTGATGGACACTCATTTCGGCTGTTCATGCATGGGTTTCTCGCGAAAATCCAGAATGCCTCGAGAGCTTTTCTGCTAGCAGTATCGTACTCGTATGCCAGTATAGTACATTTGATTTCGAAGTCCTTACCACGATGAAATTCAACTCTGTGTTTACCGAGTGGTGTGGTAAGACTTCCCCGTCTTTTGCTGGCAAGATGTTCTTTCATCCTTACCCATAGAGGCCTTCCAGTCTCTCCGATATAAGTGGCTTTGCATTCGATGCATGTAATCTCATAGATTACACGGGTCTTACCACAATCGCCAACTTTACCGGATGGACAAACTACACAGTTTTGGATTCTGCAGTAGTTGTCATATAGTCTGTTACGCACTAGCCGCTTCCTGATGTTGTCACTTGGAATATCAACTAAAATGATATCGTCTTTCAAGTTTGCACGGTTAATGCATCGTCGCACTGCAGCACTAGTTGCGTCAGAAACGAAAGGAAGGCAAAGAGGTATTTTCTGTTGGTGCTGGTTGCTTTGAATAGAAATGGATGGTCCACCGC